ACCGAAACCTGGGGGTAGAACCAGAACCGGGACTAAAACCGAAACCTACTCGGAATAGGCACTGTGTGGGTAGGTTTTGGTTCCAATTTTTTGGAACCGACACTGTGCGGTTCCGGTTCTTGTGTGTGGAGGAACCGGAACCAGAACCTAGAAAAAGGATACCCTGTTTGGAACCTGTTTTAGAACCTATTTGGAACCCGTTTTGAAACCTATTTGGAACCTGGACTGCAATAAAATATTTGTGAAATATGAATAATGGGGGGTTTCTATTATTTTACATATAAAAAATTTTAAAATAGAAAAAGTTAAATTTTTGGAATAACCTAATTAAATAAATATACTAATACAATTATACTTATTACATATAAATTACACCATATTAAAAACTTTAATATATTATAATATATTAATATTAAAGTTTTGATTAATTAAGTGAATAATTGGAATTATGATCCAATTAAAAGTGTTTTAAATTTTTAATATTATTAAAAGAATTATTTTTGAATAAAATAGTATATTTGATCGAATAATAATATATTTAGTTATTTACTTCAATTATAAAGTTCTAAGTATATCTATAATAAATTAGTAATTAATTAATTATATATGATAAATTGATAAACATTAATAAATTTAATTACTAGTTAAATATCATACTTAATCAATTATAACATTACATTATAGTTAAATGATTACTTAATTAATTATAATTTTATAACATTACTTAATTGATTTATAGTATAATTAATTATAGCATTACATTAATTGATTACTACTTAATTAATTGACTTATAAGTTATAACATTTAGTATATTACTTAATTAAATAATTAGAAATTTAATTAATTATAGCATTACATAATAGATTTATAGTATAATTACTTAATCAATTATAACATTTCATTATAAACATTAGTACAAACTTAATTAAATGATTAAAATTTTAATTAATTATAATATTACATTAAAGATTTATAATATGATTACTTAATTCACTATAACATTATATTATAGTATGATTACATAATTAAATGATTACTTAATTGATTATGGCATTATATTATAAATATTAGTAATTATAAATTTACTACATAAACATTAGTACAATACTTAATTAAATTATTAGAAATTTAATTAATTATAACATTATATTATAAATTTAGAGTACGATTACGTAATTAATTGTAACATTACATTATAATTAAGCAATTACTTAATTAATTATAATATTACAAATTAATTATAGTAATATATTAAAAATTTATAATATGATTACTTAATTCATTGTAACATTTCAATATTTCATTATAGTATGATTACATAATTAATTATAAGATTACATAATTAGATGATTATTTAATTGATTATGACATTATCTTATAAATATTAATTATAACATTATATTATAAATAAATGATTATTTAATTAATGAAATATTACATTATAGTTAAATAATTACTTAATTAAATTATAACATTATTACATTACATTATATTATGATCACTTAATTAATTATGATATTACATAGTTAAATAATTACTTAATTAGTTATAAATTTATAACATTATATTATAAATATTAGTAATTTACTACATTATCACATTACTTAATTAAATGATTAAAAAATTAATTAATTATAATATTAAATTAAAGATCTATAGTCTGATTACTTAATTCACTATAACATTATATTATAATATGGTCATATAATTAATTATAATATTACATAATTAAATAATTACTTAATTAATTATGAGTTATGACCTTATATTATAAACATTAGTAATTACTAATTTACTACATAAACATTAGCACAATACTTAATTAAATGATTAAAAATTTAATTAATTATAACATTACAGTATAAATTTATAGTACGACTACTTAATTATTTAATTAATTGTAACATTACATCATAATTAAATGATAACTTAATTAATTATAATATTCTATTATAAATAAATAAATTATAATATCATATTAAAGATTTATAATATGATTACATAATTAGTTAGAACATTACATAATCAGATGATTATTTAATTGATTATGACATTGTATTATAAACATTAATTGTGACATTACATTACAAACAAATGATTACTTAATTAAATAATCTGAAATTTAATTAATTAAGCATTACATTATAATTAAATAATTACTCAATTAAATTATAACATTAAACATTATATTATTATCACTTAATTAATTATAGCATTATATAGTTAAATGATTATATAATTAGTTATGAATTTATAACATTACATTATAAACATTAGTAATTTACTATATTATTACATTACTTAATTAAATAATTAAAAATTTAATTAATTATAACATTACCTTATATATTTATAGTATGATTACTTAAACAATTATAACATTGTATTATAAATATTAATATATTTATTAAATAATTAGAAATTTAATTAATTACAATATTAAATTATAGATTTATAATATGATTACTTAATTCATTATAACATTACATTATCGTATGATCACATAATTAAATGATTACTTAATTGATTATGGCATTATATTATAAATATTAGTAATTATAAATTTACTACATAAACAATATTACAATACTTAATTAAATTATTAACAATTTAATTAATTATAATATTACATTATAATTAAATAGTATATTACTTAATTAATTATAACATTACAATTTACATTATAATATGATCACTTAATTAATTATAACATTACATAATTAAATGATTACTTAATTAATTATGACATTATATTATAAACATTAAACATAAGTAATTAATTAAATTATTAGAATTTAATTAATTATAACATTACATTATTGTTAAATAACTATTAGATAATTATAAGTATTTATAACATTACATTATAGTATGATCACTTAATTAATTATAACATTACATTATAATTTAATAATTACTTAATTAATTACAATATTACTATATTACATTATAAACATTATTAATTTATAATATTAAATTTACAGGTTATGAGTTACATTGGACATAAATGAATGAGTAATCAATATTTTTTAGGGGTATATTTGTAAACTTTTAAGATATTTTTGTCATTTTTTAAACTAATAGGAGGGTAATTGATTTTTTACAGGGTACTTGGGAAAAGAACCGAAACCTGTATTTTAGATTCCGGTTCCTTGAATTGAAGAACCTGCACTGTGCAGTTTTAATTCCGATTCCTTTTTTTGGGAACCTGCGTTATGCGGTTCCTGTTCTGGTTCCCTCGGAAAATTCAAGGTACCCGAAACTGCTCACCCCTACTTATGAATCGGTTTGTAAGAGGAGGGTACCTAAACAGTTCTTAAACCATATAGCAAGTTATTTCTTAGTGATGCGAGACTATTAAGATCTTAGCAATAGTGAATAGGATAAAAAAAAAAAATAGCGTTGCACTTGATCTGTCTGACATAGAGAACTAATAAATTAAAATCAACAAATGATGGTTGTTTTTTTATTATTATTATTTGTAAATTATCTTATACTATTACTGTTCAACCATTAAATTATCTTATACTATTATTTACTTAAAAGCAAATTAATTCATTCTTGAATTTTTTTTTTTTTTATCCTATTCACTAACGAAAAATGAAATGTAGTTAGTGTCAGGGTTAGTCACTTACCAAAAAGTTCTCTATTCTGAAGATTCTTTTTATCAAAATTAGAAAAAATAAATTGAATTATTTTTTAAGTAATATTAATTAGATTTTTAAACCTTTAAATAATATTAATAAAATTTTATATTAATATTTTTCAAAAAAACTATACAAAACTATACGCAACACTTTTTTCTTTCATCATAGAGTTTTATTCTCAAAAAATAATAAAGAATTCATTTTAAAGGCATCGAAATGAAAAATCAAATTATTTTAGATTATTTTTAAATATGCTTAGATGATAGTATTTTATTTTATTTTACTTGATACATGTTTTAACTTAGATTATGATTCTTTTTCCTCTTTTTTTTTTTTTTTTTTTTTTTTTTTGGGTGGAGGTAATTCTAAGGCTTAGTGAGTCTTGATTTGATTTGAGAAAAATGATATTTAGATGAAAGTTTGCAAATTATTATTAAATTTATGACCTAAATGTGGAGTTTAGGTTGCATGTTGAGAAATATGCATGATGAAAGTGAGAACTAATTTTGAAATGTACAGGTTTATACGATCCACCCTTATTACATGGGGCAATGACCCAAGAGACTTGAATATTACATGGGGCAATGACCCAAGATACTGGAAACCAGTAAAAAGGGTGAAAAACTCTCTCTCTCTCTCGATATATATATATATATATATGGGTCAAGGTATTGTGACTTATATTATTAATTTAATTTTTTTATATTCCTATTTTTTATTGATTTAACAGTGATAAGTAAAGTTAAAGGAAGTTATGACTTGGTAATTCAAGCATGATTTATTAGAGTTTTCTTCTTACAGTAGTGTATAATATCTATAAATCTGAAAAATCCTGCATATATTCACTGTACAGGCCAACAGATCCTGCAGAGCTAATTGAGGTGTGTTGGCTTCAGGTAACCGGTTCAAAAAGAGGACCTTTTCTTTGGTTTATATGAAATTTGGGGTAAAAATGGGAAGGGAGGATTGCGTATTCATTGTGCAACTGTTGAAGAAGTAAGCGCATCGAATTAAGCTTTGTTTGTGCTTAGCAAAATGTTGCCAAATAAATGGAGACTAGAGGACAAAAAGATAAACTAGCATTTCCTGCACTGATAATGTTTGTTATATTGTGTGTTGTTTGCGAAACATATATTAATATATAAATAAAGTGATGTTTCTAAGTATATAAAGTTGGGATCCTACTTTGGATCAATGTTTTGAAACCCAACCTGGGCAGTGATTTGGTCTGCCGACCATGTCTCAGGTCAAGCGATCGAATCGGTCGGACCGATGACGTTATCATGCTAACATCAATATGATGACATTATGTTGATGACAACATGATGACTTAATCAGGACAACATAAGCCCTAAAAAATAAAAAATTCAATAACAATCCCAAGATCATGCTATTTTCAACTGATTACAAATTTAATAACAAAATTCATGAATATAGCCACATAATAATTAATGAACATTTTCTAGCTTAAGGTTCTGGACTTCCGGTAAACAATCCCAAGCATATGGATGGAGGTATTAGTATTACAGAGCAGGTGAACTAGACTAAACAGAACCTGCATCTGAATTCAATATATATGTTCAAAAACAAAGTATTGCAACCATATCAGACATAATCTAACAAATTAACTATGAAAAAAATATAACTTGACTTGAATTTTTTCACAAGAAAGCTTTTCCTTAATTCACTTCAGAAGTCGAAAATTTCAAAATATAATAATAGGTAATAATAAACTCAAATATAGACCATATTTCAAATTTTCAGAAGACACATTTAAGGAAATTTTCAAAATACTTTTTTATATAAATTTTCAAAAGAAAACATAAAAGCTGACCTAAGCAAATGGTAAAAAAAGACAAATACAAGACTTGCAGAGAGTCAACACAAGCAAAACAAAAATACTCAGAGCAACACGTCCAACGAATTTCAGCTTAAAACTCCAGAATTGAAACTGAAAGATCATTCACAAGGCCATACTCCACATAATGACTCAAGAAATTACAGTCAAGGACCAAACCTTCGCCGTTGAACTGTTGAAGTTCAAGTTCAGTTTCTCCAGCACCACTGATAAAGCCACGTCATCCGCTTCCTCTCCTGCAAATTGGTAATCATGTATGTTAGGAGTCGCTCTACAAATTGAAAGTCTTACAAGCACAAATATGCAGAGTCACACAACTAGGATGCATAAGAGACACAGAGAGAGAGAGAGAGAAGAAAAAAAAGCTCTAGAAATATACCGGTGGTGGAGTCGCCCATGAGTACGGCCGGAGATTTAGGATTTGGAATTTTGGATTCGATTTCGATCTTCTTTTGAGTGAAGAAGAAGATTGAAGATGCAATTTGGAGATTGAAGGATGCAGGGAGCGAAGAAGCCCGATTGAAGATGCAATATGTGAGACTGGTTTTTTTTTAAGGGATTAACTGATTAAGTTTTAAGTGACCCGGTTTAGCCACCAGGCTGATCAGACCGATGGTTTGGTACTATTTTACCGGTCCGTTCCTGGTCCAAATGGATTTTAGGTGTAACTGACCTGACAAAACAGGTTGGGATCCACAGATCGACCTCATATCCGGGTAAATTATATATGGTAGCTTTACCCGTTTTGTAAACGGGTAGACCGGATATTTTTAATTTAAAGAAAAAAGGTTTTTCTCTTTCGTAGCATGTGAGCACATGCCTACGAGGCTACAACACCTTTTGTTTGCCTTCTCTCTCTCTCTCCAAACTTAACTTTTCTTCTATCGCATCAAACTTTTTGGTAGGTAGAGTTGGCTAAATTTATTCACAAAGAATAAAACTATGTGCACTAACCAATGTATACTAATCCAAGTACTAACATTGAAAATTTAAAATTTCCTCAAAAAAAAATTCAAATTTTCAATGTTAGTACTTGGATTAGTATAAATTGATTAATGCACATAGCATTACTCATTCACAAACTTCTCTTCTCTTGTTCATTGGTAGTCTGCCTCTTTCCTATCAAAATCATTCACAATCTCCATTCATTCCCCTTACCTAACCCACTAATTTTTCTTCCCAAAGAGTTTTTCAATAACCAACTCTTCTTCTTTGCGACTAAGGGGCTACTGGTATAATAGATCCAATTGATGGCGTAAAAAAAACTTGAATTCACCCAACCCTTCTCACTTCTGGTTCATCAAGATAGGATGTAGAGCAGCACATTTCCATATTTTCAAATTGTTTTCTCTTCGTGTTTCTCAAGATTTCGGAGCTTTTAATAATTTTTCTTTTTTGGGTTTGTTTTGTGTGGTTGAGTTATGGGAAAGAATGAAAAACATTGTGTAATTTTGGAAACATGTTTTCTTTTCTTTTTGTTTTTTTAAGGATTGAAGATTTTGAGGTTGTTTCTTTTTGGGTATTTGCTTTTGGGTTTGGGTTTGGTTTCAAGAATGGTGATAAAGATGATGAGGTGGCAGCCATGGCCGCCTCTTGTGAGTTGTGACAAAGAAGTATGAGGTGAAAATGGTGGTATAGAGGATGGAGGGGTGGGATCTGGCACATGAGATTGCAGAGAAGAAGGAAGAAAAAAGAACAAAGATTTGCCGTTGAGATTCGTTGGAAGGGTCCTAAAGTACTTTGAGAAGAAGGGTCAAGAGGAACTTCACCAGAAATGGGCACTATTTTTTTAATTTTTGAAACTGCATGACATGACAAAACTGATGTGACATATGAAATGGTATCTACCACCTCAACGCCATGTCAATTAGTACGAGATATTAGTACAGGAGATTAGTAAGGCTAACATTTTAAATATTTTTGAGGAACACTTTACATACATGATTATAAGAAGAAGTGGGTTATAATAATCTATTTTAATAAAAAAACAAATTTATAAAAATAGGCTTTTGTAGCTTTTAGGATTCAAAACTGCGTTGCAGAGTCAAAATACCGTTCACATATACAATATAAATTTAAATAAAAACTTAATTATTTTTTTTATAAATTTAAAAATATTAAAATGGTAGAAAGTTGTCAACCAACGCCGATCAACAAATTAACAAGAGTAAAAGAAAATTAATATTGTTTTTTTTTTTTAATTTTAAAAGTAAAATATCTGGTGGTGGCCCAAGCCAAGATCTGATGGTCGATCAATCGTGACCAAGCCACCAGGCTGGTACTGGGCAACATAGATCACCGGAAGCCAGAGACTCGCCGCAAATCCAGCCACCCAGATCATGTAGGCCACTCGTCGTCTGGCCCGTTCATTAGGGGTGTTCGAAAAAATGCAAAAACCAAACCGAACCGGTAACCAAACCGATAACTGAACTGAAAAACTGGTTAACTTAAAAAACTATTCGGTTACGGTTCAAAAAATTTAAAAAACTGGATTTTCGGTTAGGTTACCGGTTTGGGGAAAAAAAAAAAAGGGTTAACTGAAACCCCTTTTTCGAACCGAATATATATATATATAGAAAAAAAAAAAGGGTTAACTAAAACCCCTTTTTCGAACCGATTATATATATATATGTTAGAGTCATGAAAGTGACTCTATTTTGGTGATAAAAATACCCCATTTGTGATTAAATTGAAGTATATTGAGACAATTAAAGAATTTATGAATTTATTCACGAAAATCGCTTCCTAATATTTTTCTTATGAATTTAACTGTGTTTGGAATGATTTGGAAACTATATGAGTTGATTAGGTTGTGGTTTATAGATTAGGGTGATTTTGTCACTTTTATGCGTTTAGGGGGTAAAATGTCATGTTTGAGGGGCTGATTTTGTCACTTTTTATTGGTAGGGACTGAACTGAATTTTACACATTGTTCTATAAAAAAAAATTTCAGATCGACGTGAACAGGAGGACGCCATCACATAGTTTCGGGACCTTCATCTTCCACCCGACCCTTCGTCTTCCATTTTCCGTTTCGCGGACTCTTCGGCTTCCTCGACCACAGATCACCATCACTCCTTCATCACCAACGTGAGCCAACCACCACGCCGCGACGCTTCGTCTTCCACCGCGTCGTTTCGTCTCCCGGCCAGTTTGGCCGTTTTCCGGTGACTTTCCAGCTCCCAAAGGTAGATCTTCATCCCCATAGCGGATCTACACTTCCCTTGCTCAGCCGCCGCGGAAAACCGCCGGAATCCGTGATAGCGTCGCGCCTCTTCATCTTTCAGGCCAGATCCTGCTCATTTCCGGCGACTTCTCACCTCCCCGGGACCTGATCTGAACTCCCATCAACAGAGCTTTCCATCGGTCCTTCGGATCCCATTTCCACCACCGTTTTCCGGAGACCCACGGAAAATTAACGTTCCGGCGAACCGCGGCTATTCGTTATCCAGGCTGTCCGTTGGTCATTTTCGCCCCTTTTTGCACCATATCGCTGTCGGTTACCTCCTCTCCGCCATGGTCAGCTCCGTTTCCACCGTTTCGGCTCCGTCATCACCATCATGAGGGCTAAGCTCCGGTTGTCTGTTACGGCATAGGCGAGATCGGGATTGACTCCACGACTCTCCTCATCACTCTCGACTAGTTGGATGAGCCCGATTATAGGACATTTGGTAGTATTGTGGCTTCAGATTATATTTGTTTTCGTTTCATGTTTGATTTCGATATTTAATATGATTTGAACATAATTTGTGGAATATTGTTGTCCTTTATGATTTAATGTTTTCATAGAACTTGCTGAATGATAAACGTTGGTTTGAAATTAATTAAATGATGAATATTGCTTTTCATTACTTCGCATCGATTGTAATTGAGTTGTGTTCGGATTTAATTTAATTTCTACTATTGTTGCGTTTATTGTGAAGTTGGTTGATTGGATTTTACTGTTGACAAATTGTATTGTTAATCGCGTACCAACTAGTGGTATTGCCTTGTAGCGTTTATCGACGTTCAATGATAGTCTTTAACCAATCGAACTTGAGTGATCGGGTGAGACAGGATAGATTATACCTAGAGTGTCGGGAAACTATTTCATTGATTTACCTTGCCTTGTAGGTTTAGGGGATCGTAGAGGGTGGAGGAGAATGTGTGAGTCGGTCTCGTGTCGAACCAAAGCCGTAACGACAACATTTTTTTATAAAGTTTTTATTAGTTTTAATTGCACTATTTCATTATTTGCATTTAGTCTATTTAGTTTCATTAATCCATTGCCAATTTCATTTTCGCTACTTAAAATACATTAGGTTGTTAGTCTTGCTCCCTGTGGATTCGATCCTGCTTACCGCTACTACGGTATTTGGTTTAATTTAGACTGTGAACGATCGGTCTAAACATAATATATATATATATATATTAAATAAAAAAATAATTTCATTTCGGACTTTTATTTGTATCAATTTAATGTATTGTTAGTACGTTTAATTTTTATTTAGATAAGTATTGTTTATATTTACAATTTAATTTAGGAAAAAATTTTAAAAATAAGTTTTATATAAAAAAAAAAAAAACAGGTTCAAACTGGTTAACCAAAAAAACGGTTTTCCCTCCAAACTGGTTCGGTTTTGGTTGGGAATTTTCCCAAATCAAAAAACTGGTTGTTCAGAAAAGCAATTAACCGGTTCGGTTAATCGCTTTTGAACACACCCTACCATCCATGTTTGTTTCCAACTTTAATTTTTCTGTTTCTTCAACGACTTTTACCCTCTAAGAATGCTTCTGAAATTAAGGGGGGAAAAATGTTGTTTTGTGGTGAATTCAGCCCTAAAAATATGTCTAAAAAAAATGTTCTCCTCGTGACTGTTGGCGTTTGACAAGTCAATTTTACTAATTAATGTAAATTAATTAAGAAGACAATTAATCCTTGGTTTACATTATTTACATAAAACTTTAACAGATAAAATAGTTAATAATATTTTTATAATACTTTCTATGTAACTATTTAAAAGCATTTAAATTATATTTTTCTTTCCTGTTAATAAATAACTGATTTAAGAATTAATTACCTAAATAGAAAATTTATTTCACATTTAACAGCAAAAAATATAAAATTTTCAATTTTAAGAATAAAATCTATTTCTATCAGAATTTGTCCATTCAGGGAGAAAAATGAATTGAGAGAGCGACATGGCAATTGACAGCTGTAAAAGCACCGACAACTCTGGGGGATGTGGGAATATGTTATGAATATGGGTTCTTAACAAGGTGTGTAAATTAATTATTCAAAACTCATGGACTTATTGATAAGTTTTCATGAAAACTTAGTATAAATCAACGTCCACAATTGAAAGAAGATTATTTGAAAATGAGCAAAACATTTAGAAGTAAGAAGGGGGAGGGTGGAACTTCTCAAGTTCAACTGGGTTAACAAAAAGCATCAAGATGAGAATCAAAAGGTGCTCTCCTCTCTCTCTCTTTTAACTCTCTCTCTCTCTCTAATATTTAGAAGTAAGAAGGGGGCAGAGTGGAACTTTCTCGATTCGTTCAACTCGGTAACAAAAAGCATCAAGAGAGAATCAAAAGGTGCTTTCTCTCTCTCCCTCTCTCCCTCTTTATATATATATATATATTATATCAATCTTATATGAAGTTTTTATTTTAATATATTTGATGCATAATTAACTAAGA